GATCAGATTTCCATTTTTTTTGGTTAAATTTATTATGATTTTGTTCTTTCTGATAATATTATAAATAGAATTTTTTGCTTAATTTCACTTTTGTGTTGGCTTCTTGTATTGGCGTCATCTGAACACTTAACCTAACTTGCTTACAGTGTTAGTTAGAATCGTTTTCTTTGTGTGTATATATGTGTGGGGGTAAAGTGGGGGAATCCCGTGTCATCTGCACATAGATAGTTTTACTTCTTTCCTATCTGGGTGCCTTTGATTTCATTTTCTTATTTCCCTGGCTAGCAGCTCCTATGCAAAGTTGAACATAAATGTAATGATTAGTCTTTTTAGAGTAAATCATGTGTCCAAAACATAAGTAAGGAGAGTAGTTGCTGCCATTGTAAAGGCGTGTAATCCAAGTGGGCAATGTGATGCCAGTAGAGATTACACATAGAGGTCTGCATCCACTGATGAGCAAACTTAGTACTGCATGGTTGTTTTCACTAGTTTTCTCCTAAGAAATTGATTTCTACAGAGAAAAGTAGCTTTTCTTTGTTTTTTAATTGACTTGCATATTTTTCACTTTTAAATATTTTATTTATATTTTTATTTTATGTGTATGAGTGTATTGCCTAACTGTATGTAAGTGTGCCTGTGTCATGCAGTGCTGGTGGGGGCCAGAAGAGGGTGTTGGATCCCCTGGAACTGGAGTTATGGACAGTTGTTAACTGCCATGTGGGTGCTGGAAATTGAACCCAAGTTCTCTGCAAGAGCAGCCCATGTTCTTAATGCTGATCCATCTCTCCAGCCCCTTTTTTCACTTAAAAAAATATTTTTTATTGGGCCAGAGAGATGGTTCAGTGATTAATAGCACTAGCTGCTCTTACAGAGGACCTGGGTTTGGTTCCCAACACCCACATGGCAACTAAAAACTCTGCAACTCCAATTACAGGGGATCACATGCCCTCTTCTGACCTCTGTGGGCATTGCACAACACAGGTGCACATACATACGTGTAGGCAATACACTCATACACATAAAATATATTATTTTTTCATTTATTGAATCAAGAATTTTATACAGTGTATTTTGTTCATAGTCAGACCAGCTCCCCCACCTCCCCACCTCACTGCCCCCCAACGTCATGCCTTCTATTTTTATTTTTCTTCTTTTCTTTCCTCTTTTTCACCCCTTGTTACTATCCCCAGCCCAATTCCATGTACCGTAATACATATAACATATATATTATATATATTAAGACTTTTAGAGTCAAATTTGTGTCCCCAAATGTCCTTCAGTGTGGACCCATCCACTGGAACCTGGTTAACCTACCAAGAGTTACACCCTTAACAGAGAATGACTTTCCCCTTCTTAGCAACCATCGGTTTCTAGTAGCTCCTCAGGTATGGGTGAGGTTTTTGCCCACTTCCCCTCATTTGTGCTGGAATTGTGTCTGGCTTGAGCTTATGTGGGACTTGTGCGTGCTGTCACTATTGCTGTGAGTTCATATGAGTAACTTCCCAACTTCCTGGAAAACTTTCCTTGTGGTCATCCAGTTCTTCTGGCTGCTACAATGTTTCTCCCACCTCTTCTGCAATTAATCCCTGAGCCTTTGGAAGCAGAAGTTCAATGTAGGCATCCAACTCAGAGATAATCACTCTGCAGTCTCTTATTCTCTGCATGTTGGCCAGTTGTGGGTTTCTGTGTTAATCACCATCTGTTGTATAAGGAAGCTTCTCTGGTGGGAGTTGAGAGATGCATTGCCTATGTAAGTGACATAAATATTCTATTTAACAGAATAATAGTATTAGACTCTCCCCTATGGCCTGTGACCTATCTAACCATATGTTTCTAAGTCTGATATCAATATCAGGTATGTGCTCTATGTTAGAAAATGGACCCTAAATCCAATTAGAAAGTGATTAACCAATCACTTCCCTAATATTCATCCCACTATTGCACCACACATATATCTTGCTATGCCAATCCTGAAGCATGCAGGATTCACAGCTGGGTAAGGTGAATGATTAATTTTCTCTTCTGGTAGCATGCATAGCACCTTCTAGCACTATGAAAGCTAGCCAGTAGGGATGAAGCTTTGATGTCAGTACCAGCTTGATTTCTCCTTGTTTATTCTACAGCTCATGTGTGTAGTGTCCTCAGCAATAGGGTCTTACTGTCAAGCATGGGTAACCAAGAGCAAGGCAATGACCAGTATTGTTTGAGGGTCTGTGGGACCCCTGGTCAGTAGCTCCATCCCTAGGCATTGGTCTTTTATTTTGCTTGCCTATGGTGTCTAGTAGGGGCAATGTCCCCCCGTTATAACTCCTTTAAATTTTTTATAATGCATGTATACTTTAAGAAAGGCTAGAGAGATGGCTCAGTGGTTAAGAACACTGGCTGTTCTTGAAGAAGACCTGGGTTCAAATCCCAGCACCCACATGGCAGCTAACAACTGTCCATAACTCCAGTTCCAGGGGATCCGATAGCCTCTTCTGTCTTCCGTGGGCATTGCACAATATGGGTGCACTTACCTACATGCAGGCAATACACACATACACATAAAATAAAAATAATAAAATATTTTTTAAAATAAATACTTTAAGAAGCTTCTATAGTGGTAGCCCAATCATTGTGACACATGCCTTTAATCCCAGCACTTGGGAGGCAGAAGCAGTCAGATGTCCGTGAGATCGAGGCCAGCCTGGTGAGTTCTAGGCCAGCTGGGGCTACAGGGAGACCCTGTCTCAAAAACTACCATGTCCAGCAGAAATTTATATTACTCTAAAAAATCTACAAGATTCATCATTGCAGCTCAGTGAGCAGTGTGTTTGCAGACTCTGGAAACATGAAACAGCCCTTGCTCAGCAGGTGAATGTAAACCGTACTCAGTGTCCCCAGGCTTCTTATGCCTCCACAGTGCACAGTGCTTTCCTGTCTAGTAAGAATTAAAGAGAGGGGTTTTGGTGCCGAAAGACTCTACTAACCTCTTTCCTTTTGTAAATGATGAAGTAATTCATTGTAGGTGAAATTCTGGCCAAAGTCACACATGTCCTTCCCATAGCACTGTGCATATATACAAGGGCCTTCAGCTGCTGGAGGGTTGGGTGAGTTGGGCTTTAGGGCCTCCAGTTTCCCCTGGATTTCGGAGTGCAAAGCACTGGATTCTAAATCCTTGATGGTCATCTGGCTCTAACTCACATGAGGAACCCCCCTGTCCTCTTCAGGGGCAAGAGCAGCTGCTGCACAACCTGCCAACTGACTCTTCTCACCTGCAGTCAGAAGGCTCTTAGAATCCAGGCGGTCATCTCCCTGATGAACAGCTGGGTGTCTGGCCTGAGTATATCCATCCTTGCCAGCTTCTGTTCATTGTGGTAATCCTGTGGAAAGTTGTAGAGTGAGGGTGGGGGCTTGGCAGGACTAAGCACTGGCTTAGTAGCTATCCCTTTACACCTACCTAGAAGGATATTCCTAGAAAGGAAAGTTAGAAACACGGCAGTAATTCTTTCCTGTGTATTCTTTTCTAAGCCATGTCTCCTATCCCACAGCCTTTTATAACAGGGAATTGCGGGGAGAGGGAAAGAAAGTATAAATATGTGAATATGTGTGTTTAACTTGAGAGAAGGGAGTGTTAGAGACCCAAAAGTGTTACTTCCCTAAAGTTATAGTTTATGTTGAAGCACTGAGGCAGTATGAGTGGAAGAAACCTGGTTTTCTAACATTAGGACTCTCCCCATTGCTTTATAGCTGCTTGAGTGCAGCTAGTTTGTGCATAGCAGTTACTAGGTAGCACTTCTGGGCTACACATGAAACTGGAGTAAAGAGCCACTCCAGCAGTGAGGATCTAGCACAGTGATTCCGTGAATCTTGGCTGGTGCTCACCATTGTGACCAGTGACTAATTAAAATAGCAAAGTGCATTGATAACCAGTAATAACTTACTCTGCCACTATCAAGTAAATAAAAACCCTTGGACTCTCCTCAGAGCTGCTCTGCCTGGGTCCTTCCTATTAATATAGAAGAGAAGCCTTAGGTTTGAATTGAGACATATAACAATTAAAGCATTTTTCTTCTTAATGATAATGTTTCAGAAGTAAATAACGAATGCTTTCAATATTGCACTTAGTGTACTGAGCTCCAACTCTTTTGCTTATTCTTTCTCTTTGCCAATTTTGAACTCAGATTACAGTAGGTACAAAGATCTGGGTTCTAATCTAGGCTCCTGACATTTAGCATCTGTGGGCTCTCAAGTTGTTGACCTAAGTTCTCTGTGTCAAAACTTGTTAGACAGAGAAAATAGCTTATCTCCTCACAGGATGACAGTAATTAACATGAGTTATTTACTACATAATACACAAAGTGCATAGAAAAATATGGCCCTGTGGTACATTGCTAGGGTTTTACGTCCTTATTGTTAAACGAAGTTGTAGTAATAAAGGTATTGCTGCCACTCCTCCTTTGTAGGCAAAGTTGGATCCCCTATAATTTGCTTATATTTAAAAAGGATTAACAGTGGCCTGTCCGTTACACTTACCTTCCCCTCTTAGTAGTTGAGATGTTAAAGGACAGTAGAATGAGGCCTTGTTTCCTGAATGCCCTGGACCCTGAGCTTCTTGAGTATCTAGGGGAGAATGCCTGCTTGACTAGGTTTAACCCAAGCTGGAAAACCAGTGAATTAGATTCAGTACTCAATGAAAAACCCTCATTTTTAAGACTAGCACGGAGAAGATAGTTTTCACTCAGCTTCATCCTCAGATTTAGATAAGAAACGGCCAAGAGCCCATTGCCCCAGAAGGTATGTACTGTTCTCAGACTTAACACACTGTCTAAGCTTCTTTTCTTTTTAATTTCTGGAAAGTTCTTGGTGTCCTAGAACTGTAAGTGGAACCCTTCACAGAGCCCAGCTTGGTTTCAGGTACATGGTTAATATGGCTCCAAGTCAATGCACAGTCAAACAATTAAATCGAACTTCCTCCTGTGTTTGTGTTAACACCCTGTTTCTTTTCTTCTGACTAACAGGTATCTCAGATGATGATATCATCAACATCACTCTCCCCACTGGAGTCCCAATTCTTTTGGAGTTGGACGAGAACCTGCGTGCTGTTGGGCCTCACCGGTTCCTGGGTGATCAGATGGCCATCCAGGAAGCCATTAAGAAAGTGGAGGAACAAGGAAAAGTGAAACAAGCCAAAAAGTAAAGTGTTTCCCACGCTGTCCAGGAATCAGTGCAGAAGAGTGATGTGCAGTGTGGGGCTGGTGCTGATTTCTCACTTTCCCCAATTCTCCCTGTTTTTCCTCAAGGTTAGGCTGTGTGGTAGAGTTTATGTAGTTAACTAGGTAATTTATTATGGCCCAGGTAGGGCTTGAGGATGCTGAAGTGCTGACGTCATCATCCGCCTCAGAATTAGCTTTCCTGTTGGTCCTGTTTGAATTAAGTCCCCAGACTAGTAATCAGTGGGGTTTGATCAAGGTTGTGTTATGAATTTCAGAGACAGGAGAGTAACAAGTGGGGATGAAATTGAAAGTGACCATCTTTTAACAACTCATCGTTGAGTCACCACTGACAGGCATTATTCCAATAAGACGTTCACTTTTTTAATTTAATAATACTTTCTGAGATGCATAAAGAATGTGAGGTAGTGCTTTGATAGTTAAGACTGGAGACCTATGAAATGGGAAAGTCACAGATAAGTTCCCTGAGGAAGGCCACCAACCACCACCCTTGAACTTTGCCCAGTCCAGAGCCATCCTCTGTTTGCCGTCCGTACAGTTCCTCTTCTGCTGTAAGAAGGAGCGGGGCATACACAGCTGCACACATTTGTTTTCCTTCTGTGTTTCCAGTTTTTGAACTTTAATCTTTGGGTACCTATAGTTGGTTTAAAATAAAATTCTGTGACTGCAAATGACATCCCCAAAGTGTCTCTGAGTGTGTGATCAATTTTTTGGCGGGCCTCTGAACCTATCTTCCAGTCTGTCTCCCTGTAACACTCAAAATACTGCTCTTCAACGCCGTGTATTCATGATTTTCTGTAAATGAAAGGCTGGGGTTCAAGAAGTAGGATGTGGGCATCTAATTTTCTTCACCTCAGCAGGGTGAATGGTATATTGGAGCTTGTTGCTCATCAGCTAAGGATGGAAGATTATCATATGTAGTATAGTTCAGACAGGCCAAGAACAGAAAGATACAGAATGTGTTTAGATGTATGTAAGTCATCACTTCTGTAAGTGATTGTCTCTTTGTGATACAGTATGTATTTAGATGCTATATGTAAATCATTTCTGTAAGTGATTGCCTCTTTTTCAAAGGCCATGTATATCTCAATGGTGGTTATGTAAACATTTTGTAGTCACAGTAGTTCTTAGAAATGTCATCACTTTTCATGGTTTTCTGACTGGTAGGTTAGTTTATTTACATTCATTTCATTGTAAAACTGGCATTTGAAGGAAACCAATTCTAAATCCTTTGCTGCTGCTTGATCTCCATTTCCATTTTTAATTCGAGATCCTTAGGGAGAGAAGGGAGAAATGGCTCAGCATTTAAGAGCCCTTGCTGCTCTTACAGAGGACCCAGAATTGCAGAGGACACGCTAGTTCACAGCCATCAGTAACTCCAGATCCAGAGGATCTCATACTTTCTTCTTGCCGCTGTGGCACCAGGCACACACATGGTACACAGACATACATACAGGCAAAACAATCATTCATATAAAATAAAAACAAATAACTCTTTAAGAAAAAGTCATTAGGGAGTGGCAGAAAAGATGGCTGAAGAGATGAGCCTGACACGGGAGTTACAGAGCCTTCCTCAGGCAGGAATGATTTTGCTGATACTTTCTGATACTTGCTGGTTTTGAAATTTGGCTAAAATACATGTGAACAGAAGAGCTACCTGGGAAAATCCACGTTCAGTTACTTTTAACAGCGTCAGCACTTCAACTTGAGGGCCACCTTGTGAACCTGTTTTCTTTGCCTTCTTAACAGGTGATCGAGGCTTTCATAGTAGGAACCTGGAAGGGTTATAACCTGCGTCCTAATCTTGTCTTCTTTCTGAAACAAACAAAAATTAGCCAATTTTGGCTGGAGAGATGGCTCAGCGCTTAAGAGCACTGACTGCTCTTGCAGACCTGGGCTCAGATACCAGCACCCACATGGCGGCTAACAGCCATGCAATTCCAGGGGATCTGGCACCTTCTGTCCTGTGGGCATTGCACAACATGGGTGCACTTACATACATGCAGGCAGTGCACTCATACACAGAAAATAAAAATAATAAAGTTTTTTTTTAATTAACCAATTTTTCTTCTAAATAAGAGGAAAACAGCCCATCTAGAAATGTGGTCCTTGGAGTAGACAGCTCCATTGCCAGTTTCCATTGCTGTAGGGACAGCTAGACAGAGCTCCTCTTCCCCAGGTGGAAATGATCATCCCAATGTGGGTCCAGCAGGGCAAGGTGAGGGCAAAAGCCAGAGCAGCATTGGCTGCTCCTAGAGGTTTAACCTCAGTGTCTCAGATGAGTGATGCAGCCCAGGGCGCTGCAGAGGATTTCTGTTCCAGAAAGAAATGAAGGTGTTTGTTTTGTTTTGTTTTTACATTATCTAGTACTACTGTGGCCACTGAAATAACAAAGCATCATGGTTTGAATTCATTATGGCTAATGTGTTTTGCCTTGGGCACAAAGAAAATCAATGAGATCTGACTATTTGCAAGTTGATTTTTGATTTTTGCCTCAAATTGGTAAGTTATTGCTCATTTTAGACTACTGACCACATTTATTAAAATGAAGTATTTTCTTTCGGGTCCTGTTTCTATTCCCAAGAGAGGTTTGAGATCAAGTATCCACCCCACTCCACCCCCACAGACACTTTTTTACTATGTAATTATAGTTCTCACTTTGAAAAGTAAAGTTCATGGAAAGACCTAATTTTTATGGAGTCTCTAGTTTTTCAAGACAGCTTCAATGTTTGACGTCTTCCTTCCCTCTAAATCCAAGTTTTAATAAAAATTCAACACATCCCAGGATGTGACATCAGCATAACTTCAAAGAACCAGTGCCCAGTTTAGTCTTAAAAAAAAAAACACAAAACAAAAAAAGTAGACATCGTTCAAAAGCAACTGTGTCAGCTATCAGCCAAGATGCTAGAGGGCACTTTCCTCATGAAGAAGCCACCCCAGCCAGAGTCGTTTTGCTAACCAATTTACTTAAGAACTTCCTGTAAATTCACTCTAACCACAGAGCTATTGAGGGGGTGCATCTGCCCAACCTCCATCTGCTTGAGAGAAAACTTCACTGAATTAATTGAAATAGGTGGGCAGTCAGACAGAGCTGGAGTTGTATTAGTCAAATAATTGCGTAAAATCTACCCTTTTAGTAGGATAAGATTCTTTAAAGCAGCTGAGCTTGTGCCTTGGCATGTAACCCCAGTACCACAGAAGGCAAAAGCTAGCACATTATCTCTATACCTATCTGTAACTGAGGCCATCTGATCCATCCTGACAGATTCTGTGGAGCATACAGAGTTCTCCAGGAAGCCAATAGCCATAGGTTGACACCTAGTATTTTTGTTGAGAAATCCTGGATCCCAGGTTAGATAGCAGAGAATATTATTTGCAGCTGGTGAGTTTTATAATCTTTTATTTTTCAATCTTTATTTCTGCACATAGACACTGGGGGTCAGTATTTGTTCATAAGTGCTTCTAGATTTGGCTCTGACCCTCGCTCCAGCAATTTGCTACAAAAGGTCAAATATGGAGAAGCCTGAATTCCTTTGCTAGGGTTTCTCTCTCTGGTTATGTAACTATAGAACTCAGCCTGTGTAGCCATAAACATAAATAGAAACAATGGATCCCCTTGAGATTTTAACCTGGGAAAAAGGCAGTTTTGAATGTAAAATATAAACCAATGCCAAATCCTTGCTGGCTCCTGGAGTCATCTGGCAACACTGGCCACACCCTGCGCACCCAGATGTTTGGCCAGCATCCTGTCCCTCACCCTTGACTGTCCTCCTGATTCGTTGTGGCATCCTCTCCACTTTCAATCTGTCCTCTATCTGCACTGTTCTCTCCTGAAATACTTTGAATGCTGAAAACAGCATTGTTTTCCACACCTCTGCCTCCGCTTTTTCCAGTCTCCTCAAGGTAGTGCCAGGATGACATCTCCAAAGCCCTATTCCTTGGAGCCTCATGCAGCTTTCCAGAAAGTTCTGGCATCCCTTCAGGCTCATCCCTCCATCTCTCACCTTACCCCCTCTCGTTTCTGCCTCATGTCTGCTCTTCCTTCATGACTGGTAGGCACCAGTGTAGCCCTGCAATTTACTCTCCCTGGAGTTCCTTTGTTCCCTTGTCTCTTTGCCTTGCTGACCAAAGAAGTGAATGAATTAAGTCATGCAAACTTACGTGCTCCAGAGTTCCCCGGATATATTCCCCTTTGGTGTCAGTTTGTTATTTAAGGTGTTTCGTATAGCCTGCATTTGGTCTTTAACCTGCCTGGACTCAGGCTGGCTACCCTCTATGCAGAGATGGTCCCCTTGCTGCTGGTAGGACAGCAAAAGAAGCCCAATACCCCATAATCCCAGAGCATTTCCCCACAGGCAGCTCTCTAATGCCACAGAAACAGGTTATTTAGGGAGATCTACCATGCTCTCATTCGAATTACAGAGTTAAATAGAACATTTTAAACATTTAAAAAAATACATGAAAAGGATCCTTATAATCTCATCAAAAGAATTATTTCACTTTTTTAATTAATTTTTTTGTCTTTTTTGAGACAGGGTCTCCCTGTAGCCCCAGCTGTCCTGGAACTCACTATATAGACCAGGCTGGCCTCGAACTCACAATTACACAGATATATGTATTATTATTATTAATTTTTTTTGGTCTTTTTGAGACAGGGTCTCCCTGTAGCCCCAGCTGTCCTGGAACTCACTATGTAGACCAGGCCGGCCTTGAACTCACAGAGATCTGTCTGCCTCTGCCTCCCAAGTGCTGGGATTAAAGGCATGCGCCACCACACCTGGCTATTTTTTTATTTTTTAAAAAGCAGAGTCTATGTAGCTCTGGCAGACCTCAAACTCAGAGATCTGCCTGCCCCTGTCTCCCAAATGCTGGGAGTAAAGGCGTGCACCACCATGCCTGGCATCACTTATTTTACATATACACATTTTACACAGATATATGTATTATTATTATTAATTTTTTTTGGTCTTTTTGAGACAGGGTCTCCCTGTAGCCCCAGCTGTCCTGGAACTCACTATGTAGACCAGGCTGGCCTTGAACTCACAGAGATCCACCTGCCTCTGCCTCCTGAGTTCTGGGATTAAAGGAATGCGCCACCACGCCTGGCTACAGATATATATTTTTAAAAATTATTTTTATGTATGTGTTTTGCTTACATGTGCATAAGCGCTCCCATGTTCTGCAAATACCCACAAAGGCCAGAAGAGGGTGTCAGATCCCCTGGAACTGAAGTTATGGATAGTTAGCCACCATGAAGGGTATTAGGAACCAAATCCAGGTCCCCTGCAAGAGCAGCCAGTGCTCCTAATCTCTGAGCCATCTCTCCAGTCCCTAGATATATTCTTAATTAGCATTCCATATTGCCTTTTATTTATCATAGCATTTTTCCATGTTTCAGAAGTTCCAGGCCCTACATCAAATATGGTTCCATCAATTGGATAGAAATTAAAATGTCCCAAAGATAGCACTTTCAATGTTTTTCTATAATAATATATGGGAATATCAAGCTAACATGCTGCTAAATAAAATGTATATTTATATACCTTGAAAGACCTTCATAGCAAGAATTTAAATGGGTGAAGCCATTTTATATGATTGCACATCACAAAATGCCAATAGTGATGGCTATGGTAGTCTTCTCTGAAGAGGGGTCATATGCACTGAACCTTAAGTGATATAGTGTG